TTTGACTTTCAATCCTAGCCTTAGCTTTTTCAGCGCTCTACGGCTAATGTAACTACGGGTAGCCCCTAAATCTATAAGGGCCCCTACTCTACTCCTGAAAACTTCTACATCAACTAAGATCAGTTGTCCTTTACTCTCCTTCTTCATTTTGGCCCAAGCTGGCATCCTCTCCTTCAGCTCTTCTGCCACACCTGTGAGGGAAGTGCCTAGAGAGACGCTAACACAAGCAGTCTCTGGACAACTAGCTAGGCACTGGCCTGCAACTTCTGCCATAGGCTCATGTGGTTCGGGAGTTTCCTGTTCGCGCGTGCTCGCTTCCCCACATGGCCTTATAGTAGGGGCAGTTGCGATCCCTACTGGCGGCTGCCTTTTGAGCAGCCCATCGGGCTTGTCTGTACTTATGACAAAATTTAATTACATGGGCCGGGTCACCACAAAACACGCACCGACCCAAGTCCACGCGTTCCTGCCATACGCGCTGGTCCAAGCCCAAATCTTCCCAAGGCCCGCCTTGCGGCAAGCCTGGGTGCCATCCTCCTGACTGTTGAGGTGGCCTTCCACCTCGTCGTGGCGGGGACCGACTAGGACCCTGACGATTCGGCGAGGGACCTTTACCCCTACCTCCCACTTGGCGGTTCCCTTGTCCGCCAACCCCCTGTGCGCCCGATCCTCGGCCTCCCGTGGCCTGGCCCCTTTGGCCTAGCCCCTTTGGCCCTGGCCTCCTCCTCTACCTTGCGGCCTCCCTCCAACCGCGACAACCGCATAGGACCTCCCCTGCCCTACACTGTTGTCCTCCTCCTCTAGCCCCCACTCAATCTCACTGTAGGGGACTTCATTGGTACCACCCTCCTCTAAAGTCAGGATCATATGATCCTTGGCCCTGACTTGGCCAGAGATGGTACGACCCTTCCACTTTTTGCCCTTATCCAAGTCCTTGTGCCAGAAAGTGGATACTGGCATGGACTTTGACTCGAACAGGACCACCTCTCTACTCAGCACATCATATGTGATGTCGGCCTGTTGAGACTTGTCGAAGAAATGCCCACGCAGCGGCTCCGGCATGGCACGATAAAATAACTGGACCAACTGGGGCTCAATGACCCCATGGTCTGGGACGGCTACCAAGTCGTCCATGACGCCCTTGAGTGCTCTTGCACTCCTCCACTGTCGTGAGTGGATGGTTTGTAACTTGTCAGAGGCTCTAACGCCTCTTGTTGGGTCAACAAATCTCTCCCTCAGGAGTTTGAAGAATTGAGGAAGCGGGGTGATCTTAGAATATGCAACTAGGTTGTTTTCACAACCGGCTGCGCGCGCAAGGGACCTGGCAAAACTAGCCACTTCATCCTTGAGGGCCTGGAAGGCGACGAGGACTCGCTCCTCAGTCAAGATATGCTGCAAGTACACATAACTATTCACGCTCGCCTCCCAGATATCAAAATTCTCTTCTTTCTTCCCGCCATATGCATCTGGGAACTTAAGCTTAACGGGCTCTTTACGGGGTCTGGCCTCACTCTCAACAACTGCTGCTGCTTTGGCACTCTCGATGGCGCCCTCACAGAACTTCCCCACGTTGTCTCTCAACCGCCTAACTTCGCCCCCAACGTGGGTGACCATATCGCGCGCAAAATCCCGGAATCCTGACCTCATGGCACTCAGGGCCACATCGTGACCCCAGTTGGCTTGGCGCTCCTCCATCCAAGCCGCGCTCAACACTTCCAAGTACCCCATCATCTTATCCATTTTGGCAGAAATGTCTGCCTACGCCTGCACCTCTTGTCTACAGTCTCTCACCTTTGCCACCTCCGCGGTCAACCTATTAACTTCCTCCCTCCTTCTCTTTTTTTCCCTCTTCATCCTCAGTTTCCACTCCAACTTCTTCTCCTCCTCTGCTTCTTGCCGTTCCAGGGGGTCCTCGATTGTTGCTAGCATACTGGCTAATGCATCCCTCTAATCCTGTGGCACATAGAACTCTGCCTCCTCATCTTCCCCAGCGATAAATTAGCGATCCACTCACTAATTTTCTTCTCCATCGCTGCATCCTCATTTTTCCTGCCACTACTCTCCCCCTTTTCTTCCCTGCGTTTCCTCTCCTCTTCTGCTTCTGCTGCTGCTTCTACCTCGGCAGCCTTTTTCTTCTCCTCCATCTCTTCCTCCAGTTTCTTCATTTTTGCCGCCTGCTCCTCCGCGATTGCCTTTAACTTTGTCGGCTTCAGGAGCTCTTTCCTCTCCTTATTCTCTCTCACTAAGGCAGTCATCTTCTCTTGTTGTTCCTGGGTGTAGGGGCTAGTGCTCTTCCCACTACGGGTCTCAACCATGGTGATAAGTGCACAACCGGATTGACGGTTCCAAACCTCACCATGTAGACTCTAACCCCTGACGGACAAACCTACTGACTCAATCTAAGGACTCACAGAATCCGGACAGGGATCCTGCTAACTTGGGTCTCTAGCCTAGACCTACACTATGGCTGTCACAACTAAACCTGTTGCTGATCAGGAGGCATTTAAGGAGATCCCCCGTAACTCCTCAGGAATTATTTAACGTCGCAAACAGGACGACGCGATCAGCAGGTCTCTCAATACTTAGACTGCCTGTTGCGCAGCCCACAACTCAGACTTTCGGGCCTACTGTGCCACACCGAGCAGCCCGCCGGTCTGTACCGGTCCTTGGGAGGGTTAGGCCTCCGGGACAGTCGAGTCGTCAGGCACAGTCTTTAGCCCTACTTAGTCCGACAGGGGTTTGGTCAACGAGGCCCTATCCTTCATCCACAGAGTTCCTACACCTAGAGAGAAGAGACTCGATGCAGAAAGAAGAGACAGACAGACTTGACTCAGCAAGTACCACAGGGTGTGTGCACATCCATAGGGCGAGGGGATAGGCTGAAGGCTTGGCGAGAATATAACGGCTCCAGCTTGGTCAAAATCGTGGTCAACGGTCTTGGTCAACGCTCGGTCAACGCTGCAGTCAACCCCCGGTCAACTCCGGTCAACTACGGTCAACTCCCGGTCAACGCCAATCAACTCTGGTCAACGCCTCCGGTCAACTTCCCGACTATGGCGGCTGGCTTCACTTTCCTTCACCAACCTTCTTCTTCCCTTCACCTTCCTCGCCTCCTCTCACCTCGGCTGTCTCTTTTTTTTTTTTTTTTTTTTTTTTTCCCTTATCGTCTCTCCCTTCACCTCTCTCGGCCATGGCTTCCCTCAGTCTGCTCGGTCTCTTCCTCTCTGTCCTTCTTCACCTCCTTCGTTATCCCGTGGTGGAGCTCCACGGCTATGGCCTTCTTCTTCTTCTTCACAGGACTGTACGTAACAGCCAAACTTGTATCGCTCATCTCTCTCTCTCTCTCTCTCTCTCTCTCTCTCTCTCTCTCTCTCTCTCTCTCTCTCTCTCTCT